GAATGCAGCAGCCACATGCCCCACTCTGCACAGTGTTTTGGGGCCAGGAAGATTGGCACTTGTTGTCATGGCAGAGGGTCACAGCGATGTCACAGGAATGGCATCATCAGAAGTAGCACCATAGGAGCGGCACCCTTCCAGTCAGATGTCAGGTGAAATGCCAACTGAAAATGAGGTTCGTCTCACATTTTTACACAGTTTACGCTCGTGGCACTCGTGTACGGACATTCATATGTAAATAAGCCTTTATTAGGTGTGCACCAGAGTGAGGTGGTGCATGGATACACCAGGACTCCGGGACTGACAGCTACCCTGAACCAAAGCGAACCAAAGCGAAGCGAAGCAAATGCAAACCGAGTTTGAGGCCAATGCGGAATGGAAATTGAAGTGGAGTCGAGTCGAGTCTGGGATGCATACTGATTGCTGTTTGGATTATTGAATTGATTGTCTCTCCCACTCTTTTATTTGTGGCCCTTTTTGCTTTGTTCTACATGGCTCTTCCTCTTCCTCTCTCCTCTTTACTCACTGTGTGCATTTGCTTTTTTTGTGGCATAGTTGGATGTGGGATATATGCATAGAGAAGAGATTCAGGGTCTTATAACCGATTGTTTTTCGAATAATGATGGCCAAAGAGAGTTCCATTTGAAGGCAATTTGGGGCCTTTAATGCTACTCTGGCTTTGCCTTTCCTGCTTTATAATTTCTTTGCTTTTCTTGGCCTAAAACTCATCCCTTAATTTTCGCTAATTTCTCATCCAGAGCTAAAGCTCTACGAATTGTTCTTTAATTTCTTTCGGTTCCAAAAAATAAAAGATAATCTTCGTATTTAATCTCTTGTTTTGCTGTTCGCCTTGCGCCCCCGAATTTAGTGACATTGATGGATGGCGAAATGGGCGAAAAAATCTATTCCACATGCAGTAGTCCTAGAAGCTAGGTTTTGCTCTGCACCAACCAAATCAATCAACTCGGAGGCACTTTCCCTGGCATGAAAATGAATTCAAACAGAGCAGCAGATTGGATTAGTTTCGCTTGATGATTAGGGCCAGAGTGAACTCAGGGACTGAGGGAAAAGTGGATTAGCTAACAGCTAACAGCCAGATGTCTGTCTGCTTTATAGATAGCCCTTCTCCGCCACCCTCACCCTCTGAATGCCAATACCAATCGCCATCTAATTATTGTTTTCGCTTCGTGGCTAAACTATAATTCCGTTTAATTGCATTTTGATTGGGGGTTTCACATATTCATATGCAGATGTTCATTGATACGGCTAACATTGTGCATGGAAAATACATTTTCGCCGCTAATCTAATACAAAACGAAAAAGTTCGAATGTGTTACAAGGCAATGCGTATGCGTAATATGTTTTTCATGTGGTTTTCCCACACCCCATTAACGTAACCGTATGGGATTGGATTTCCACGTTAAAAGGGTGCAGATGGGTCTGCAAAACTATTTATGTATGCAGTATTGAGTAAAGATAAAGCTGAATCTTCCTGCCAGAGGAAAAATTAGTTCGATTAATTAGTAGATAAATCTTTCAGAAGGTAAGATTAAATTTAAAAAAAAACACTTAAAAAGGCAAACAAAAACCACAAAAAACAAAAAAGTACGGATTAAATAATTACCAAAGAACAGAAAGATAGCTGTAAAACGAAAGACTCAGAGAGAACACTAGAAATACCTTTAAAAAACTAACAAATAATCACAAAAGCACTTCTTGCTAGGTGAATGCCATCCATGTACAGCGCATAGAAAGGCAGCGCAAAAATACAGTAAAAATAAAAATGATGCATTACAATTGAATCATTTACATATGAATATTATGCAGCATAGAAAATGGCACTGCACGTATGCAAATGTATTTCCCTGGCGCAATTTATCTATCAATAAAATATGTGAAAACGAAAGTAAGTGTCATACGTGCATGGCTACAAGCAATATCGATCGAAAGCCATATTTCCATTTCTAATTATAATACGCTCAAGCCACGCTGCTGTTTCGCTCACTCTCCATGGCCCATTCCCAGTCCAGCCCCCCCTATCTATACATATGTATATCTCTCCGCTCTTTCTGTTCCCCTCGCTCACTCTCTGTGCATTTCTATGATTATGTTACTGTGCTGGAAATGGCAATTGGAACACGGGCAACAAAACATGATTACCTCAACCGGTTGCACTTCGTTGCAGCAGCAACAGCAACATATCCCCTCCTCCTCTTGCTCTTTTGCACCAGCACAAACTTTTCGAGAGTGAGAGTGAAAGAGGCAGCCAGAGATGTGAGAGAGGGGGAGAGACAGAGCCGGAGCCAGAGCCACAGCCAGAGCTGTAGGAAGAGAGTAACGTAACAGTGAAAAAGCCAGCCAGAGCTGTGTGAGCGGGGGGGCAGAGCAACATGCTTGCTCATGATTGTCGTTTTGCCAGTTTTTGTTTTTAGCAGCTTGCGGGGCGCAAGGGCGGGGGGCAGCAGAAGGCGGGTGGCGGTCACAAAAAGTGAAAGTGCACTTTAAACACAAACACAGACACCACATCTACACATTGACACACCCACACAGACACATATATTCGTATATTCATATGCATATATGTATGCTTACAAAATGCCACATGTCAGCCAAACATGTGTAAGTGTTTTACATACATACATATGTACGAGTATGTCTGCACGTGTGCGTGAGTCTGTCATTTTAGATGCAACTGTGAGCCAGCCGACATTTAAGCGTAACAGACACTTGAGCTTTTCAAGAGAGAAGCGAAGAGCAGAGAGCATAGAAATGTCAGGGAGACATAAAAGGTGAGGCAGCAAGCGCTCTTCAATCATTATTAATGATGTGCAGCATCCTCACTCATCAGAGTCTGAAATGGAATCGCAACCTCACCTTATAATAATAGCACTTGGACAAACAAGTCAACCCTGTTATGTGGCGGGGTGCGGGACTACCCATGACTGCAGTCATGACTGAATGAATGAATGTGTGTGCACAAATGTCTGTGTTTGTGTGTGTGTGGGAGTGTTTATGTTTGCGCGTGGGTGTTGGTATAACAATAAAAGCGCGGAGAAGTGCAGCAAATGCATGAATAAACAACAACTCAATTTGAATAAAGCAACAGCAGCAATAGCAGCAACAGCAGCAACAGCAGCAACAGCAGTAACAGCAGCAACAGGGCTGCAGTTAACAGAGCTACCCATGGGATCCATTCAGCTTAAGCATCTTTTTTCTTAGAGCTGTAATTTAAGTGAAGTGATCCTTTAATGCTAAAGGAGACAATTTACAAGAACGACAGATGGCAGCTGGCATGAGGCTCCCACTTGAAAACGAACTAAACTTTTGCCAAGAGACAAATTAATTCGCTACGATTTGAACTCGAGCCAGAAAACTTTGCTCCTTTAATTAACTAAATTCCCAAAAATGAACAAACTAATTCCACTTAAATTTTAGCAATAGTTTTAGATGAACCCCCGAAAACCAACCCTTCAGATAGTGAATGCAATTTACACTCTAGTTCCGCTCTGAATACCAACTCCAACGAAACTTTTTTTTTTGGCTACTGCAGTTCTCCTTTCATTTTTATTGCAAATCTATATGATCCAGAATGTTTATGTAAAAATAAAACCCGATTTTCTGCAGTGTTACAGCAAACTGGTTGGTTGGTTGGTTGGTTGGCAGCTCAGCTCCACGCTTGGCTAAGCTCTCGCGCTGGCGTTTATTACATACAACAATTGATTTTGCGCTATGCGACGCGAAGCAGCAGACAAAATGCAAATGAAAATGATAAAGTGCTCAGAGCGCCAAAGAGAGAGACAGCGACAGCGAAAAGCGGGTTAGTTTGGGTGCAAAAGAGATGGGTATGGGTGTGGGGACAATATAGTTTCAAACAAAACTTCAAATTGGCAAACAGAAAAGTGACTCACACACACAACCACACACTCAGACCGAGAGACAGACACAGTGACACTGGCAGACAGATAGACTGACAAGTGGGGTGGGGTGACGGGGGGTGGGGCCTGTGGGCTGACTGCAACAAAAATGACAAACGTGCTCTTGATAGACTTGTTGACGACAGGAAAGCAGGCAGGCAGGTCTCCTTCTTCCTGCCACTTGGCAGCACTGTCAGCTGCAAAAATCCCTCGAGAATGAGGTGACGTTTTGAAACACGTAAAGGTACCGCCCCACAACTGCTCGGGACACGCGTATGTTAGGATGTGTGCAGGATTGACGGGCGTTACGAATATTGTAAGCAATTTTATTGCTGAAACCATTAATAAATAATGCCAAAAATCAATAGGTTGATTTCTTGCGATGGCCGCACATTTCATACTCGCATATTGTGAGTGCGTGTGGGTGCCGCCAAATACAAAATGTATTTTTGTGGTTCAATCTTGGTAATTGCAATTACGAATCCCGCACACCGCACACCGCACACCGACCCCCCCGATCAGTGTATTGTAATCAATTTGTTGGGTTTATTACGACCAGTTCATGGTTACACTATCCCCAACAACAACAACAACGACAGCTACAGCTACACTATCCATTACTGCACTCACGTTTTATTATTTGTTTTTGGTTTGTTTTGCTCTTGCTTCTTTTTGCTGTTCGCTTTGGCTCTCTTTTGGGGCTTGATTTACGCGCGCGTGGAATAACGAACAAGTCTCGTAAACGTGTTTTTGTCACGGCTTAGACCACTGGCGGCAACACGTCCGCCTCCGAGTAGCTCCCAGTACGTACTAACTGTATTTTTTTGGCCAAGACGCCTCGGCAGCCTACCCGAAGCGAAACGACGAACATTTGGTCGCTGGAAGGAGGTTGGGTGAATGGGTGGCTGGTTGGCTGGGTGGCGGAAAGCCGACAAGTTGTAAGCGACCACCGCCGTGGGACATATCAAAATCCAGTTTAATTCCTTTACCTAATTAATCAACTTTTCAAAGGGCTTTTTCACGAATTTATGTAAATTGAGAGTAGGCCAGATTTGTTCTGTTTTTTTTTTTACTCATTTCTCTTAACTAAATTTACTGTCGTCTAAATATTAAAAGAATCACAACACTTTTACAGACGTTATCAGAATATATATTGTGAAAACTCGAAATGTTGCTGCTGCTGGTAAACCGAATGTCCGTTCAAATGGACTATTTTCCCGGTATGTAGCAGTAAGTGTTGGTAAAAACCAGCGCACCTTCTCGTGTTCGTCAGTATATTTATAGTATATTCTTATAATGAAAATGTATATTTCGGTATATTTGTGAGGGTCAGGCGGTATATTCTAAAGATTTTTACACGGCCACGCTGTATCTCTGCACAAAAACAAAAAAAAACTAAAATATCAATTTAAATCGTCTTTTTCCCATATATTTTGGCATTTAAACTGATCAAAATTATGCCTGTGTAATGCTAGAAAACATTTCCTTGTGTGTCATCAAAATCGAAATCGATTTGGAGCCAGACGCAGGTAAATGACCCGAACAAAGAAAACGCATAAATTTCGCAATAATTATAAGTCCCTTCACAGAACAAGAAGGCGCCGTATCAGCAGAGCATCCAACCAATCCACGGGTCCAAAAGGAGCGCGAGCGGGACCGTGGACTGCGACAGTCCCGCGACATCATCATCGAAACGTACACGAATCAGCGTTGGACAAAGGAACTGTGCGAAAGCGAAGAAGAGTTTGAGGGCGACGACACAAGGAAGATGAACTGGTCCGCCGCACTGCAGCATGTGAACAGCCCCACGGCTGGGAGTTCGCGCGAGACGACACCACGTAGCGGCGATGAGTCACAGCCTGGTGGCGTGCAGGCAAACTCGAACTTTCCACTGGAGATTGGCTACTTTTCGGGCAATCCGATTGTGGAAGTGACCAAGGGACTCATCCATCTATACAAGAAGAAGTAGGAGCAGTCATTGCGTGTTTTATTAAGCCATTTAATACCTCTTCTCTTCTCTCTCGGTTAGTGAACGAAAGGCCACCAAGGAGGCCCCATCCAATCAACTCTGCCTGCTGGCCGTGCCAGCCACTCTCAACTGCCATGATTTGCTGAATTTTATAGCACCCTGCCATGCGGAGATCAAGCATGTCCAGATCGTACGCGATGGCAGTCCCAATCAGTTTATGGTGCTCCTAGAGTGGGTCCAAATCCTTAGATATCTCTGGCATTGTAATACAACTTCTAATGCCCCACAGATTTCGCTCGAATGAATCGGCCCTGGAGTTTTACAAGTCCTACAATGGCATTGCGTACAACTCATTGGAGCCGGACTCCTTGTGCCATGCCGTTTGGGTCTCTGCCGTGGAGCGTAGCGAGCACGGACTGCCGCCCGTGGGGCACACCGAGCTGCCCACCTGCCCTGTGTGCTTGGAGCGCATGGACGAGAGCGTGGATGGGGTTCTCACCATTCTCTGTAATCATGCCTTTCATGCCAGCTGCCTGATGAAGTGGGGCGACTCCACCTGCCCCGTCTGCCGGCATGTGCAGACCCCAGAGCTGATGGAGGACTCCGTTTGCATGGAGTGCGAGGGAACCGATTCACTGTGGATTTGCCTGATCTGCGGCCATGTGGGCTGCGGTCGGTATCAGGGAGGCCACGCTGCCGCCCACTACAGGGCCACCAATCACACCTTTGCCATGCAGCTGGGAACCTCCAGTGTGTGGGACTACGCAGGCGATAATTTCGTCCACCGTCTGTTCCAGAACAAGTCCGACGGCAAGCTGGTGGCCTCGCAGACCGAAAAGGATGAGCGCGAGGAGAAGATTGACTCGATGCAGATGGAGTTTACCTATTTGCTGACCTCGCAGCTGGACACACAGCGCAAGTACTACGAGGAGCGAATGGAGCGCCTCGAAGAGGAGTGGCAGAACTTTAAGGTGAATGCCAGCGAGGCCAAGTCGGAGGTGACTGATCTGCTGCAGGTGCAGCAAACCATGCAAAAGGAGAAACAGAATCTAGAGCGTAAACTGGCGCAGCATACCAGCAAGTAAGGGCAGATGCATTTCCAAAGAGTATTATGGGGTCATAATCTGTGCTCCATTTCAGACTAAAGGATGTCCAGAAGCAGCTAAACGAGGAGCGTGAGCTATCGAAGGCCCTGCAGGACAATCAAAGCTCCTGGCTGGTCAAATACAAGGCCCTGGAGCAGCAGTACACGGAATTCAAAGCCAAACACGATGCAGAAGTCACCGATCTAAAGGAGCAGCTGCGCGATGTCATGTTCTTTCTGGACACCCAAGGCAAGATGGCCAATTCGGAGCTGGCCGGTGCCTCAATCACGGGCGTCGGCGAAAAGGAGCCCGAGCCGGGCACGCGTCGCAACCATCGTCGCAAGAAATAGACTTTAATCCGTGAATAAAGCTGAGCAGCTTGGATGTATCTTGATGTATTTAAAATGTAATGTTTAATCCCCCCACCCCCACCCACGCTGAAGGCTGCCCCTTCCCCCCTGCATAAAAAACAGCTCTAAATGTGATTTCCTTTGTGGAAGCAAAGCGATAAAAAGTAAGAGAGAATTTCCAAATTGTATTTCATGGTGTTTTTTCGTGTGAATTAAAACAGAATAATGTTCAAAGTGCATCTAAATATTTTCTACGATGGGCTTCTCTTGCGGCGGACACGTGTTCTCGCATTGGAATGTGGGATCGGGCAGCTCCTTGGTGCAGATCTCTGTGGCCTCCTGGATGAGGGTCTGCTTCTCCAACATCTCCTGCTCGCTGCGATCGAGATTCATCAGATAGGCGGCAATGAAGGCACGCGGATCCTGCGGCTCGTGCAGATGCAGCTGGGCAAAGGCGCGCACCAGCTGCTGGCCCATTGTCGCCTTGATCTCGTCGGCCAGGGTGTCCACCAACCCCGAGATTCTTGCCCTGCGGCAGCCAGTCGTACTCCTTGAAGCAGCAGCACTCGCAATAGGCCCTGGGATCAGAGTCCTTCAGCAGCTTGAAGAACGGCTGCAGCTCCCCCTCGCAGCGCTTCAGATGGGCCACCTCACGGACGAATCGTTTGTTCATCTGGCAAATGTCATATTCGCACTTCTTGACCACCTCATTGTCCTGCGAGAGAGCAGCCGTGCGCTTGATGTAGTCCACGGTGTTCTCCTGGAACGACTTGAATTTGCACTTCTCCTCGTTGTAGGCATTCAGGCACTGGCGCGCATACATCATTATGTTGTCCCGGCGGCGGCGCAGCTCCTCGCTCTTCTTTGTGTAGTGCAGCTTCAGTTCATCCAGATTGACGATGCGTTCGGCAAACTGTGTCAGATCCTCCTCACTCTCGCAGACCTTGGGCTTCGTGGACTTCTCATCGCCAGCGCACTTGGACCTTTCTATCTTGGCCATTTCGGCCTTCATCTCCAGCTGCACATTCCGCAGTTGCGTATTGAGCCGCTTCACATCATTGTCGCTGATGATCAAAGTGTTGAGCATCTCCCGCAGGCAGCCCTTGTGAGGATTGGGCAGCTCCTCATTGCATTCTGTTAGCATTTTAATTGCGAAAATTTACAGACTCTTTTGGTTGGCAAAAGTTTGGGGTTTTTATTTTGGAATAGTTCGTTGTGAATGAAAGGTTTTTATGGGTATGATTGAAATAGTTCTATGACTATGACTATGGCAGTATATGTGCTAGGGGTTGCTTAGTTACAAAAAGGGTTTCTAAAAGTTAGAATTTCCAAAGGAAAATAGCAGCTGGAACATCTCATACTCCTCTCACATCTGCCAGAACACCTTCTGTAATGGTAACTCATAAATCTATTCCATTCCCCTCACTCACAACCCCCCACTATTTTCCCCATTAAAATTGATGCAATCGTTATGAATAGTTTTCATACTGAAACGTATACTATAATTTATGCCATGCCCCGTGCCTCACACTCTTCACCAGCATTCAACCCGCCAGCAAAGACTTACAGACTCCAAAAATAAAAGCAACTACAAGTCGAACCGGTTTGACTAGACCCCCACCGCCAACCAGCACCGAATCTTCACTTAAATTGCGTACACACCGACGTACAGACGTACAGACGATGCACAGACAAACAAATAAAGAACTTAAATATAAATTTAATTCACTTTTGGCTATGAACAACCAGCTCCAACAACACCAAGAAATAAATAAATAAAACTTTTTTAATGGGTTCCCCCCACTACCCCCCACTCCCCCTACCGGTGCCGCTGTTACCTCAGCCATCTTTCGGAATCTCTCTCTCTCTCTGTCTTTCAGTCTTTCGTTCGTCTACAATTGGCAAGCGATCAATCAATCTGTCGCTTCTACTACCAAAAACTTTAGTGTGCCAAAAGATTGTGGGGTACGGGCTGATAGATACCCTGGCAAATGGAAAGGAGAGGAAAGTGGAGAGAATACCTGCATGAAAGTCACAAGATAATTTCCAATATAAATGCATGTAAATATGCTATAAATATAGACAAATAGGGTACCCGCAATTTCGAATGACAAACTCGTCCAAATATTCGCCTTTAAAGCTTATCCGAACTTCGCTCTCTACTTCATGCTCCCTCTCACTTCTCTTCCAATCGCTGAACCTATCCAAAAATTTTATTTTTTGCCACAAGTCAACCTGTTAGCAAACCCCCCGAAAGAGAATGATGATGGGGTAAAAGGGGCACACGGACTTTGTCCATCTTGTACCTGTAATTAAGTAACTTAATTAATTTTTGTATTTTAAAAAACCAACACCTTCGTGTATAAAATTTTTCCATTTGCTTGTGCAAAAACCTTCGCTTTTGGCGAATTGAATAAATTTTGCATAATTTTTGCATTGTGTAGATCGTAGTTAAAGGAATTTGATGGATTCGAAGTCGCCTATCGCTCGATAGGGTATAATTTGATTAATTCTGCACAGATGAGGCTGGTATTTTGAGATTAAATTAAGATGCATTTTGTTGTGGGGTTTTTTTTTATATATAAGGCAAGATCATTTCATTTTAAAACGAAAGTGTGGGCAGAGATTTTTATCTTAAAATGAGACTTTAAATTAACGATTTCCAAAAAGGTAAATCATATAATGCTTGGGGATTAGTTCATTCATTGAATTTGATGGGGTTTAAAAAAGTTTATAAATAAGGAAACAGGAAATAGAGGAAAATATAGATCGATTTTGATATAAAAAAAATACAGCATACAATCAAAAATCCTTCAGATACGATTCATCTCGTCTTATATGATACTTTCACTTACTTATAGCATATAAAATATCTTGGCCTTTGATGATTCCACAGCTGCCCTTGCTGCATTTTCTATTGCCATTCAGTGCGCATGCAAATTAAAATAATTTAAATTATTGAATGTGACTAATGAGCAAATATTGATTTAGAAACTTTATTCCAAAGGCCACGGATACAAAGCCCGAATATGTTAAATAGATAAACAAATATGCGACAACGACAAAAGGAAGAAGCGTTAGGAAACCCCAGAAGGATGTGCCAGACTAGACTCCCGTCTTGGGGTGGTTTCCCTGCCCCGCGGCTGACTGCATGGAGGGAGAAAAATTGACCCAGACAAACAGCTTGAGTAGAGCGAAAGTAAAAGGAAAAGTCCTATCCATAGGACACCTTGGCCCTGCGCATTAAAAGAAATACGAGGAAAAAAAACGAAATTTAAATAATTCACGTATTTTTCTGTTCGAAAGAGCTAGAGTTTTTTTTCGTTTAGGTCTTTGCTTTTTTTACGGATGATAAATGAAAAATTATGTTTGACCCGCACCCCGTTTTTCCATTGATGATCATGTATGCAAATGCGCGATGCCCAGATGCGAGTATCCCGGCAGAGGATCATCAGCCAGCCATTCATGCAACCCTTTGAGGTGCTTCGTCCGATCCGCGAACGTGTTGTGCATAAATTAGGAAATCCTTTGGTCCTTTGGGCCCCTTTTGTTCACGGCACTCACCCTTTTTTCGAAAAGATCGTTAAGGAAACGCTTCCGCATGGAAATGAGGCAAAAAATCCGGATTTTTTTTCTACTTCTTGTCTTCTGGCTTGCCTTGCGGATGTCTGCATCTTTTTGTGTGTCTCCGGGTGGTGTGCCGTGTGCGAGACTCCTTTATCCTTGATCGTCACCCCTGAGCTGTGGGTAGACGTTAGACACACATAAACGGAGAAAAAAATCGTGAGAAAATTTCCAGCGCCAAATATTCAAATGAGGTAACCAAATGCCCGCCGTTGCATACTTTTTTGGGTGATTTTTTGTGCTCTGCTCACCCGAAGGACACAAAAAATAGAGCCCATCAGGTTCCAGCCCCTTGTCAGTTTTTTAACCCATTTTTTTTTTTGGTTTGAATACCGAAATTTTTTATGCTTGACTACCGAAAAAAGTCGTTTATAATTGAAGCGATTCCAGCTTTTTTTTTGGCGCGTAATTTTTTTGTTTTCTGAAAGAAATCCCGTGTGACAAGTTTTTTTTTGTCGTTGGGTTGAGCCAAAAGGATCGGCCTTGTTACTGTAGTTTTTTATCCTTTTTTTTTGGTTAATTTTTTTCTGTAGTTTTTTTTTGACAAAAGGCGGCGCGAAAATGTTAATTAAATTTTTGTTATTGCGTCATTTTATGGCGGATAACGAATGATTCCTGTTCAAGGGATACAATCTTTTATGCTCCTTTCAATTACGCAGTTACTTTTTTTTTTTAGTTTTTTGTTGTGTTTTTTATTGTGTATTTGTCGGCTTTTTTTAGTCGGTATTTGTCCAACACGTGTTGGCTGTCAGGGCGTTCATTTGTAGTACAAATAACTCGTGATTTTTGTTTGAATAAATGTTAACAATGTTAAGTACTTGATGGGCCCTTTGGGCAGGGCTTTAATATCTAAAAAAGTTCAGCAAAAAATATTTAATTGAATGGCAAACACATTTGAATAGGGACTAAAAAAAGGGACTGAATAAAAGGACTCAGGGAAATTGTTGGCCCTTCAAACGGTGGGAGAATAAATGTATTGGATTGATTGGGATACTACTATGATTTGCTTCTGTCAAGAAATGATTACATAATATAAATATGCTTCGTCTGAAAAGGTAGAAAGAAAGAAATGATATATATATTAAAATCCCAGAAAATGTTCCACCTTTCTCCAACATCTGTTGTTGCTCTCAAATGAAGAATGACTTCCTTAGTCGAAGAAGAGCTGCCAAAACATGCCAGAAAAACCCTTTTAAAACCAGCAATAAGAAGTGTATTAATACCCATTCAATCCCTCAATAATTACCCCCAAATCCACATTATCGAAAACGTTTAATTAAAATGCCACAAACCTACTTTTATTTTTTGGCAATATGCCAATGTTCTCTCTCTCAAGTATCAATTACTGAACAATCGAAATATGATAAAGGGGAATCAATCCAAACAAGAGCACAGAAACAAAAACCTCAACAATAGACAGCAGAGAGTGCGTTGAGCGTGCCCTCTCATCCGTTTATCCACTGAAAGTGCGAAACCCCAGAGTGAATCGATCAGGGATAGGGTGCAAAATATGAATATAGCTCGTACCCTGGAAGAATAGCTAACGAAAATCGCATCAAATTTCACAATATCGCACCTTATTAGAATCGAACAAAGCCTGAGGAGCACAGCACAAGAGAGCGAACAAAGAGAGCCACAAAAATTGGCAAAGACTGGCAGGAATATTGAAATGCAAATGCCACAAAGGAACAAGAAGTTATGGGAAAAACATACACACCTCTCCTCAATATATGGGCTAATCGGTGGAGTGTATTCTGCATATTGTGTGGCATTGTCTAGTAATTTCATAAATAGTTTATCCAAGAGAATTGCTGAATGCCGAACCCCCGACTAAATGCCATACGTGAACGGGTTACCCTCGACGAGTCCTTTCTTATGCAAAGCGCCCCCGAAACCTTCGCTGGGGTGAAATCGGTTTTCTCTATCCTTTTCCTTTCTCCGGATGTTATTGTGTGTGGCGGCAACCCCTGATGATGATCGGTTGCTATCTCTATAGGGTAGGGCAGGGCAGGGCAGGCTGTGTGTTTTGATTTTCTCTAGAGTTTAGAAACCATAAATCTATTGATGGCTTTGATGACGCCTTTCTGCAGGCCTCGAAATGATCTCTTGGCATTGAAAGCGCATAGATAATATTCAAATGCAAGTCGTTTGCATAATGCTCTGTCCCTGAAACTGATTTTAAGGGGCAATGCACTGAAAGAAACATAGGGAGCAGCGAACTTCCCAGCTGGAGGAGGTTTGTGGTACAGAATTCGTGATGATGTATGGATTTCTGGCTAGGAAACGCCAAAGGAACTGCTGGAGTATAAGCGGAACTAATAAATGAAGGCACATTTAGTGAGGAGAGGTACACTCTAGAAGAAAGAAAATTCGTTCTTTGGTACCCAGAATTGTTCTATGATCATCAAATAAATTCTCAAAAATATCTACAGTCCCCCAAACCCCTCTTTCATCAACGAACTCCTTACCAGTAGCACTCTTCTTCTTTCAGTGTACTCTTCGAGGATCTCTTTGATATCTCAAGCAGATGCCACGCTCAACCAAAAACTCCTTCCTGGCCTCAGGCATTGCATTCTAATTATCATATCGATCAGCAAACCCCAGACGACTGCAAGTAAAAGTGACAGTCCCAGGATCCCAGACAGCACCGAGCATCCTTGACAGGATAGATCCTGTCAGCCACATTTTTTTTCTCATAGTTAGCATAACAAAGCGCTGATGAGGCACACAACGGACAGAGATTCGGTGATGATTTCAGCACCCAAAGAAACCCGAGAGAAGATCAGCGAAGAGCCACCCCGAAGATACTTGCAGGCAGGCAGCAGACAATCCCATGATCATTAGGGCATCTATAAAAGTGAGGCATTGATATGCTAATCAGAGAGAGAGAGAGAGAGAGAGATCCCATGGGCCATGGCGCAACTCTTCCAATGCTCGAATGGCAGCCCAATGATCGATGACGACCTGCGATCGCCTGGCAGAAATCAAATCATTTATCAATTATATTATTGGCAAACATTGTCTGGCCATAGATTCGCGATACCTTTACGCTCCGCTCCCCCCCTTTTTACCCCTTTTGTCTGTGCATTTTGCACAAACTGCCAAATGGTCGATTGTCGATCGATGAGCCCTTTTATCCAGGGTCTTTGTACTCTGCGGTGTGTTTGCCAATTCAGCCTTCGATGATTTGTTGGTTTATTGTCAGCGATCCTTGTCGGTGTTAAGGGTTCAGAGGATCGGATCGGATCGGATCAGGTCGGATCGGATCGTGCCGAATTTTCGCACAATATCCTTGCTTGTTGACAAAACAGCGCAGACAATGTCCTTTTAGCAAGGGGTTTATGTCTCTATCATCCTCACCTCTCTTTCTGGTTGCTCTTTATCCCCCTAGTGGGTGTCTTCTATTCAACGCCAAACAATGCCCATTCTTAGGGCAATTTTTACGAGCTGTTTAGGTGGTTTTTATATTGTTTTTATATGAGTCATAAAATTCAAATTACTGCGAGTGTTTTAACACACTTTTCCGAGCTATTTATAATTCCATTCAAATGCTTGCCTAAGCAAATAGAGAAGACAGAACTTTTAGTGCAAAAAATGCGGTGAGAAAAAAATAAAGAAAATATAATAATGATGCAAAAAAACAAAACACCTGTAACAACTTTTAAACTGGTTTTATTGTGTGTGACTTATTGTTTTATTAATTAGCTATGAAATTTGCTCAAAACATAAATGTTCCATTGTGTAGAATACACTATCAGCTTACTAATCTTTTACCATTCTCTTCTGTTGTTGAAGAACTTCACTCGGTCTTCGAGTGATTTCCCACTTGATTCGAGTTGCAAATCGTGATGTGTGAAGCATATGAACTAGTTTTATCATCAATAAATATACATACAGAGATTTGTGTGCGAGTATATATAAGAACTCGCAATCATTAATCTCTGGTTCGATCAGCCAAAGAAAAATACTTCAAGATTCAGTCATCAGTCATCAATCATTTGATCGTTGCAGCGACAAGAAAGAAACACCCCACTGACCAAAACGACAGCTGCGACCATTGAATCATAGAATCTTGAGCCCTACATTTCCCATTTCCCTCTAGAGATACTCAGATTATATGGTGGGGTGCAGGGCATACATAAATCTCTCATGTCTTATGTCGCCTTGGGCTGCCCTTAAGAAAGGAAAAGGAAATTCTCTTAAGCGGATTATCATGCAGTTTTCTGGTTCAGTGAATCCTCATCGCATCCCTGCAAATGCAAATCTTGTGGTAAAACATATAAAGATCATTCAAGGTAATTATTTGTATAAATTATTTCCAAATTTATTATACAATTCGTTTCTTTTCTTTGTTTTTGTTTTTAGGTAGAAAATACACTTTTTAGTTCTTAAACTAATTTGTTTTGATAAATAAAGATAATATCGCTAGGGTTTTTCGCTTATGGCTAATATGATACGTCGTACAGCACACATATACATACATAAGATTTACATTATGTATCCGCCGTACTTTGTACGGCTCCTATCATCGGATTGGCTTGCGAAAAACTTGTGATCTACTCAACCGAATTATTGCTTTTCTTTTCGAGTACATCAGAGTTTAACTTTACTTTTTGGAGAGATTTCTTATAGCTAGAAAGATGTTAGAGGGTCATTAAAATATCATCTAAACGATACTTGAAAATCCTGAGTTGTCCTAGATACGCATATCCTATACAATATATTATATTCTTCAAATTCTTTGCAGTTCAAGGCAGAGAGGAGCTGCGTGTTGCAGCTCTTCTTCGTTTTTATTTTTGGGCAGTGTTTGGAGGCGTTTGGAGTGTGAGATTTATAGCAGTGGAATAAAGCAATCAATACTTTTCCAGATTCTAAAGCGATTGGAAGTCTATACACAAAGGTTAATACTAAATGGAAGTTTCAGCTCCTGCACTGCCTTGAACTGGTGCCTAAACTAAGCCTAATGTAAACATACTTTCGAGTGTTTAAACTGGAATGAATTCCGCATTTAGTTCCTGGAAATTCATCCCGGTTTAAAGGTCCTGTTGAAACCTAAAACTAATGTCATCGTAGCTGCCTTTTGTGGCCACGCTGAGGCCTGTACTATTGGGCCTTCTCCTTGGCCGCCTGGACGGCGCTCAGGCCCAGGGTTAGATGATCGCCAGCGATGAGTCCCGCTGCCCCTGGCTGGTGCGCATAGTTCCGTATCTGATGCAGCGAAATGAGCTGCGTGGGAAAGGCAGCGGCCGCCGCTGCCGCATTCTGCTGGTAGAGGTAGGCCGCCGTGGCCGCTGGAGCTCCACGATGCTGCTGAAGATGTGAGGGTGGCACCGTGGCGCTGAGTGGAGTGAAAGCCGAGGATCCAGGCCCAGGCGAGGGCTGCTGTGAATGCTGCTGCTGCTGTTGTTGTTGCTGTTGCAGGTGATGCTGTGGTGTCGTCTGCCGCAGGACGAGATCCTCGCCGGCGGGGTCTTCATGCGGACTGTGCGAATGTCCAGGCGTATCCGCCAGCCGCTGGTGGTGCTGCTGCAGCATCTCCTGCTGCTGCTGCTGTTGTTGCTGCTGATGCTGCTGGAGCGAGGCAAAGTTCGCGTACGGCTGGCCATTCGCCTGCGGCAGCTGCTGCTGAATGGCCTCTGCCAGCGACACAGCCGCACTGTCCGCCCCCATTTTGGCCCAATACGCGGCATTCACATCATTCATTGCCTGTCGCTGCAGATTCAAACCGATTCCACCCGATGGCACATGCTGCTGCACTGCAGCCACCTGACTGGTGTGCCGTTGCTGCTGCTTTTCCGCCTTCTCCGCGTGCTTCTGCAGATGCTTCTGTAGGTACGTCTCCTGCGTGTAGGATTTCCCGCACAGATTGCAGATGTGCGTCTTCAGGTGCTTCGAGTCCTTGTGCTTGGGTATGTGCTCCAGCAGCGTCATCTCATCGGCGAAACACTTGTAGCAGGAGTTGCATTTGAAGGGTTTGTCCGTCTGATGGCATCGCGAGTGCGACTGAAGGTTCGAGAGCTGCGAGAAGGCCTTGGGACAGCCGGCATGCCGGCACTTGTACGGCTTGTCCCCCGTGTGCGTCCTGATATGCTGTTGCAAGTGCGACAGCTGCGTAAACTTTCGCTGGCAGATCTCGCAGCGGTAGGGTTTGATCCCCAAATGGATACGCGTGTGCTGCGACAGGTACGAGGAGTTGGCAAAGGATTTGCTGCACGAGGCGCACTTGTAGGGCTTTGCCTGGTCCCCATCTCCTCCACCGCCGCCAGATCCTCCGCCGCTGCCCCTGCGATCATCTTCTGGCGACGAGGCATTACTGCCGCTGCTCATGAGCGGCCGCGGAGGCGATCTATTGGGATCGTACTGTAAGGAAAGGCCAGTGGTTAGGTCTGCTCTTCTCTGCATCCCACTAGGACTCACCTTTTGCTCCTGCTGCTCGTGTGGCGTTGGCGGAGAGCTTGGCGCACTGTAGCTGGACTTTAGATGCTGCGACTGCTGCTGGTGGTGATGCTGCTGTTGCTGTTGTTGCTGCTGCTGCTGCTCCTGATGTGCCTGATGCTGCTGCTGCTGCTGCAACATCTCCTGCTGGTGTTGTTGCTGCTGCTGCTGTTGCTGTTGGTGATGCACCAGACCATTCTTCAGGCTGTAGTCCAGCCGCTCCACCACATTCTGACGAAACTCATTGATGTTGAAAGGCTTGTAGTCATGGACCAGTTGTGCCGTGCGCAGATCCGCTGTGGTGAGGTGCGTGAGGGATCGCAGCTGGTCAATGGATCGATGGAGATAGTCGCCGCTTGAGACGCCGTTCGGCGCCGTCGGCAATTCGGCCATAAGCGGCGGCTGATGGCCCCCAAGTGTCAGCGGGCGGTAGGCGATGGTGCGTGCGTCCAGCTTGGGGCAGAGCTCACCAACGATTGTGCGGCGAATCGACAGCCAACAGTCGACAGTTGGAGCAGCTTGGACTCCGCTTACACAAGAGACACTCCACTTCTACTTCTACTTTGACTCTTTCCTCGGGTGGGGGACCGACTCTTTTCTGCTGAAAGTACAAAAATATTGTAATTCTTGAATCTGAAATTATTGTCGACGCTGCAAAACGCGGCATAAACTACTTTTTCGATTCTACTTTGCTTCCCCTTACACTTTCGTACACTAATTTCTGCACATTAACATATTTATGCATGAATTAATTAATTGCTTGTGAATTGTGAATTAAAACGTGTGCAGTGATAGGCCCCAACGCAAAGAGTTCTTCTGTGTGCTGCCACAACAACAACAAAACTTGCCACTGAAGCGCAAAAAAGCTCCAAAAGAATTATTTATGAACAATGCCAGTGGGGGGAAAAAAGCGAAAATGAAATTTTCAACAGATCAACAAAAAAGGCGCTTGGGGCAACAAGTTTTCGTGGTGACAACACAACACATACAACACAGCCACAAGCCACAACACAAGATGGAAAGCCAAATCCAAACCCGAATCGGGGTTCTCTTTTTCGGACAGGGAGCAAAAAACGTCAGGGGCGCCAACGGAACGTGTCAACAACCTCGATGGATGGAAATTTAATGCAACTACAAGTTTAACACATTTCTGGGAGTCGGCACGGGGAGTGGCAGCAGCAACAATAAATGGACCAATCATGTAAAAGAGGTGAAAATAAGTGGGGGAAAAATATGATTGGATGGGGTGCCAAAAAAACCAAAGGGAAAGCACATTTTAAAGGAACATCTCTTGAATGAATAGAAGGGATAATGGAAAATATTCTATACTATAAACTACTGAAGAAGAGTATACGAGTTATTCTAAGAATCATTAATCCACAAATTTCGAAGTATTTCTAGTTGACAGTTAATCACTTCTATTCCTTTCACTTCTGGTGTACTTTTTAATCAATTACTCCGCCCTTATCCAACACCATCATACAACTCATTTCTGACGATAATTTCCACCAGCATATCCGTCATTGATAAATGACTTTTAATTGATTTAAAAAACTGATTTTTTCATAATCCTTTTATAACGTTTGCAAACCCCACAAAAAAAGTATTTAGGCCTAAAGCCTGTAGAGAATGAAGATTAATAAATAAATAATAATATATTCCCTACTTGTTGCATTTATGAGGAAAATCAACCAAAATTATTAACCTTAATGTACATTACCATTTCCGCAAAATTTGTTTAAAATTAACAAAGAGCTCAAAATTTATTGTAGCTGAAACGGAAATGGAAATTATTGGAATTTGCTGGATTGTCCAGATTTTCATAGAAGATAAGATAGAAATCTAACCGAAGCCTCTCTTTAACTCCACTCTCAAGCAAATTTTCAGAAATTGTAATACAATGAAATCCATTCTTCAAAAAGAATTAAGGAATGGATGAACGAAAGTAGAGTTTAAGACCCCTCCCTATATCTTTTCGAGCCATTAATTGCTATCGAAATACATTTTAAAATGATAACTAACTTATTGCCTTTCGTTTCTTTTAAAATAAGAGTTCAAAATGTTTGAACGATAATTTGTTAGCGACCTTTTGGTCGGGTGGGTGTTGACGTCAGAGGCAAATTGAGTTCTTTTCTTTTATTTTTTTGCGCGCTGGTCAAAAGAACCGGTTCTGATGTCGTTGCTGACGTTGGACAATGACAGAGGAAACGGGAGCGGGAGCAGAAGCAGCGGCCAAAGTGGAAGCAGGGCAGGGGAAGGAGAAGCGGAATGTAAAAGGACGCGCTATTTGCTTGTTGCGCACAAAAAAAAGAGAAAAAGGGAGACGGGGCAGCGGATTACGGAAAATGTAAATACCCTATAAAAGTGTTTGCTTTTGAAAACAATTGCAAAAAAAGTGGCGTCCAACAAACAAGGGGGAGGAAGAGAGACAGAGAGCAGCGCACACAACCTGATAATGCCCCAAAGACGCAGTCAGTCAGGCCCCAAAAAAAAGAGAGGAAAGAAGCAGCACACGCTGCCTAAAAAAGCATATAAAATAGTATACATAAAAAAAACCCCACACACACACGCACTCACATAAACAAATACACACAAAAAACGAATCAACGAAAATTAATTGAGCGCAAGCAGCTGAAAAACAAAAGAGAGCAGAAGAGCTAGAGCAGGGTATACTAATAAGAAGGTTTAGTGGCAATTATCAAGCGGGAGATTGGCAAATGTATAAGTGTAGGCGGAGAGAGAGAGACAACCTTCTGCCTCACCTTCTCATGCCATATACCTTGATCCAGAGAAGCACCAAAGAGCGAGCAAGAGCGCAACATAAACAAACGCTACGAGCCGGACATCGTGAAAACCGCAAAACGAACAAAAACGTTCTCTAGCTCTCTCGCTCTCTCTGCCATGCTTGGGGGCGACATGTGTGCGAAAAAACAGCAAATATTTGAAGAATACAAAAAAGAAGAAGATAAAGAAAGACACGACGACACACAAAAAAACCGCCACCAACGAATGAATGGAAGCGAGCATAAAAAGCCAGGCAGCATAGGAGGGGGAGAACAATGGACAGAGGGGACAGTTACCATTTACAAATATTTTTGCGGGAACTAAATTGTTTTAACTTTTGAGACTTGATAGTTTTGTGAGCAATTCAAAGCAGCTAACAATTCGGTTTACGGGGGTTATTGAAGGAACTGATTTGATTATTTGGCCATCTTATTTTATGAGCCAAGAAAGTTAATTGAATTTAGAATTTTAAATATAACAATTCCATTTCCAAACATCGTCAATCTAATATTAAAATCATCCCAGAGCACCGTTTAAACTCTCTAGAATTCTCCCCCCATCACATCCGGCCCACTGTGCAGCGAGCGCGGGAAACACGACTTGCAAGCAAAATATTGTTTTCTTTCCAATAAGGCAAATAAATAAAAGAAAGACTTGTGGGAAGAAAGTACTCACCAATTTGAAAAGGTCTTTTGTATTCTGGTTTTTCCTATTGCTGTAATACTTTTGTGGGCCAACTCTTGTTGATATTTTGGCCCGCACCGAGCACGTGTTCAGCTGCTGATTGTAGGTGGTTGTTGCAAGAGAGAGGGGGGGTACAATGGGGTTCCACTCTTTCACTCAGGTATTTAAGGGAATAATTTGCTTGTGGTTTTGCCGTAATTTACTTGTTGGATTAGACGCATTCTTGTGCCTTTTTATTATGTATTTCAATGATTCCACATCAAGTTTGCAAAATCCGTTTTTTATATTCCTCTTTTTGGTTTCTCTTCCACATACACCAACACACTTTAAACAGATTCCCGTGTGGCAACAAGAAAAAATGGCCGCGCACGCCAAAAATACACCAACACACACTCGTTTTTTTTCTGCACTTGTGCTTTTGCCCCTTTTTTACGTTTTTTGGACTTTTTTTTGTGGGGGCTTTTGGGACTTTTTTGGCGACCCGCCTTCTGCGATTAATTGCAATTACAATCGTTTGGGAGCAGGCGGTGGGTGGCGCAGCGTAAGCTTCGGTTACGCTTGTTTACATCAAGAGACGAGCGCGCGCGGTGCAGAGCAGGAGCAACAAAAAACGGGACTCTCGGCGCAAACGAGTAAAGAAGTGCTCGGTTCGGCGGCGGAAAAGAGAGTGGAAAAAAAATCACAACCGAAGCAAGTTTTTTCTGAAGCAGCTGAGCGAGAGGGTGGGAATGATGTCGCTCTTCTGCTCTCCGCCGCTTGCACACGTTATGAAAAAAGGCTTGTTTATGTTTTTTATGTGTGTACTTTGTCTCTCTTCTCTCTTCCTCTCTCGCTCTCTCTCTCTCATTTTTGCTTATTTTCTCTTTTGCGCGCGCTCTCTCTTGTTTCGGTCATTCCGGTTTTTTGTTCCTCTGGCGCCTGATTTTTTTTGGTTCGCTGTGTGGAGTTTGTTGGGTAGGGGAGGGAGGCGTACTCCTTTTTTTGAATACCGAATTTAATTGGGCCAAATGTTGGTCAAAGGAGACGAGGAAAACACAACGAATGAAAGATATCCATTGATTGAAGATCCTGTTGAGGTGTTTTGTAACTGAATGAATGATTACCTGGGATTGCATGTTATTTTATAGAGATATTAAACCGAGTAGCTATATTCTCTATAGTTGAAGTGAATTTAAAACGGACTAATCTTGTCATATTTTACCTATTCTTTTTTATTTGAAGATATAGGAAGTGCCAATCTAAGATCAAAACTTACCTACATAAATATGGAACCATATCGAGTAATATTGGTTGACTACAGATTTTAAGCATTCAAATTTTACCCGCTTCCGTAACCGATGTTCTAGTGCGATAGCAGCGAGGTGATATTTTGCAGTTTTCGATGAAAAAGGTGGTTCTAATTTCCGAACTTCGACTGTAATAAAATTTAATCAAATCCGTTTACCATGGTTTCCCTTACAAAAGTTTAGTGGGTCTTCAGGCTCATTATATGCAATATTCATAATATAGTAAGTTTTTACCCACATACTTTCTTAGTGCAATAGTCGCAATAGAACATCGATACTTAAATCGATGTTTGTCCACCACTAACAGAACAACGTGCCGCCTTATTTTTTAGATGCAATTTGTTTAAAAACATGTCGGCACAATACCAAAAGTTCCTGAAAGTACTTGAAAAGTGGCCCGCGGATAAGTCAAAAATCGGCAGGTAAATATTATCATCCACTCAAACACACAACACAAGAGAAAAGCTGGGCGAATGTTCGTTCTGGCGGCCTCCTGGGGTGGCGATGGGTTGCGTTGCCTTTTGGATTATCTAACAAATAATGATGCAAAATGCTAACAAATAAATGTAGCAAGTGTCATTTAAATGTAAATAGTTGCAGTGCAATGTAAAATTTTAGTTTCAAAACATGTCAATGTGGGACTGTCTCCATCTGTGCAGATGTTGCCGCCATCCCGCAATTCAGGTTCCACACAACTTGCACGGTGGAGTCCACCGTGTGTGTGGAACGCTTGTTTCATGGTAATGATCGCGGCTTACATGGGCCCCATTGTTCTGCCGGTTTTCCAAGCGTTTGGTCGACAGCTTCAAGTGTATTTTTCTTGCCTTAGGAATGTCGTCAAAGTTTTCCTATCAGCTAATCCCAGAGGAATATCTCTTCGGAGATGGAGCAGAGGTCCAGTAAGTGGTGGGATCTAGGGATTATTCTGAACTCGTGCTGCAACTTTCGCTTTGCTTTGCTCTCACCTTTTCTGCTTGCGGTTTCCCATTACGTCTGCCCAGGTGCTTCACTTTAGCTTCGATTTCTTTCCCAGAAATAGCCTCGCCCCAACCCCTGCCCCAGTCGAGCTGCTTGGAACGAACATCTGCCACCAAAACAACCGAACAAAGTTCCATTTGCTGCCCCTCCAATAAAAACTTTCTCTATATCCTCTAATCCGCACAAAGGGATCTCGGCGAGCAGATCCGCAAGCAAGTGACCAGATTCTCAACCAGCGTGAATAGCGAAGCGGACAAGGATCTCGATCGCCAGATTGATGCACTGGAGCGACTGTCGAGCAACGTGTACGCCAAGAAGTATCCACGCAGCTACGAATCGACGGCCACTGGACTGACGGCCGCACAGTGCAGTCAAGTGCTGAGCTCCGAGTTCCTGCGGTATCTCAACGACGGCGCGGGCTCAAAGAAGAAATAACCAACATGCTGAAGCGACTCCTAATCCCCACTAGAATAAGGCTAGAATATCTAAGACACAACACCGCAACAGCAACAGCGACAGTTGCCGCTCCTCCCCATGTGCCGGTACTCTGCGACACAGCCATCGACTATTTGAAGGAGTCTCCCGGCAGAACCTTCTTCGACATGACCTTCGGGGCGGGGGGTCACACGCGGCGATTACTGGAGGCCCTGCCGGATGCCAAAGTGTACGCCTTGGATCGGGATCCAGTGGCCCACCAGCTGGCGCAGGAGCTGAGCGAAACGGCGGAATACAAGGGGCGGATCGTCCCTTTGCTCGGTAAATTCTCCGACATCCCACGACTCTTTGACGAGCAGAGCCTGGCCAAGCACTCGATTGACGGCATACTCTTCGATTTCGGCTGCAGTTCCATGCAGTTCGATGAGGCGGCCCGTGGATTCTCCATCTCCCACGATGGCCCGCTGGACATGCGCATGGATGGAGGACGCAGTGGCGGCCTGAGTGCCGCTGATGTCGTGGCCAAGGCCGACGAAGGAGATCTGGTCAAGATTCTGCGCATCTATGGCGAGGAAAAGGCAGCCAAAAAGATTGCCAGAGCCATAGTGGATGCCCGCAACGCATCGATTAAGATTGAGACGACGCGACAGCTGGCGAACATCGTGGAGGATGCCCTCGACAGTGGGCCGCGCAAGGACAAGCTGAAGCGTCCCGCGCATTCGGCCACCAAGACGTTCCAGGCGCTGCGCATCTTTGTGAACAACGAGCTCAACGAAATCAACTACGGCATGCTGCTGGCCAACGAAATGCTGCGCCTACACGGTCGCCTGGTGACCATCACCTTCCACTCGCTGGAGGACACCATTGTCAAGCGGCACATCGCTGGCAATGTCATTGCTGGCGCTGCTAATCCCCTGCCCCTGAAGTACTCCAGCCATGGGCTCGTTGATGATCCCGAAATGCTACAATCGCTGAGAGAAAACAACTGGCGGCAGCTCCATAAACATGTCATTGTGCCCGACCCCGCAGAGGTCTCTCGGAATAGTCGCAGTCGTTCGGCCAAGCTGCGGGCAGCAGTCAAGATTAGTGGGCTCCCCGAGTTCTATGAGGAGAGCAAAGAGTAGAGAAGTTTGTGGCTCTCTCTGGCTGTATTTGGGCAATTGCTTATCGATCCAACACCAATTGACACCTTGCTGATAAGGAGAACTGGTTCTTCTATTCCATTTGCTGAGGTTCTGTTCTGTTTGCCTTCGTGCAGAATGGCTTGAGGCTCGAGGCGTAGTCTTATTTTTGTTTAGTTAGATTAGGAAAACGCTGTTAATTGTGGCAGGTAAAAGTGTTCTCCCGTCTTACAGTGGGTTCGCAAGCCAAAAATCGGTATAGAATTGTAAATGAAAAATATATGAAATATTTGTTGAAAATGTTTTGATCTTTTGGATCTTTAAATTTATTATTAGAAGTATAATCAATTAATTTTAGAATTTCACTTAAAAGTTCCCCCATATCAGCTCTCATTATTACCCCTTAGGTCTAGAAATATTGCCTAACATTCTGCCAATCGTTTCCATAGCATGAATTTCTTCATTTTCGTATCACTTCTGCAATCATTTCATAAGTTCCAACCACCGATAAGATTTGATGTATGGAAATTACTTTCGCAAATGATTTCCCTGGTAATCCATATGTTGCTATGATTTCGTACTCCCTTTGCGGTTATTCTCCTTGAGCTGGAATGGATCAAGCCCCTCCACAGACGTCACATAATGGTGTTATTTACGGCTGGCACATCGAAAGATGTGACCCGCGGAACCTGAAACTCAGCACTGATAAGCGGGTAGCGGGTGATGGTCAGGCAGAGAGTGGGAGCACGGCTTAATCCCAACGAGAGAGAGAGCGGCACCTGGCAGCTATAGATAGGACTGCCATTGGGCACAGGCAGCTCAGTCGAGTTGAATTGCGCGAATCGAATCAATCGTTCGTGTTGGCGTCGCTAGTGAGGCGTTCGAATTGTTGGGTTCCCGGACTAAGTAACCTTGTGCGTTGTTTCAGCGGTGTTCAGCGGAGAGACGAGCCGGCTAGGAAGATGAGCAACGAGGCCAAGATAATATCGGGCACGGCAGTGGCCAAGTGAGTGTTGTTGAATCCCACCTTAGAGACAAATGCCCCAATGAACCCACCCAACCCGATTCCACCCACTGCCAGAAATATACGCGAGGAGCTGCGCAGCGAGGTGACCTCCATGACGAGGCTGCTGCCAAAGTTCACGCCTGGCTTGAGGATCGTTCAGGTGGGCGGACGCGAGGACTCCAATGTGTACATTCGCATGAAGATCAAGGCGGCCACGGAGATTGGCATCGAAGCGGTCCACGTACAGCTGCCGCGCACCATCACCGAAGTGGAGCTGCTCGATAAGGTGGGTTATCGATCGATTGTGGCTTATGCAATGGCAGCTGGAACCGAATTTCCATTTTGTAGATCAACGACCTGAACGACGATTCCCGAGTGCATGGTATCATCGTGCAGATGCCACTGGACTGCGATTCCCCCATCGATTCGCATCGCATCACGGATGCCGTTGCGCCCGCGAAGGATGTGGATGGCCTGCACACCGTGAACGAGGGTCGCCTGGCCATCGGGGATCTTGGTGGCTTCCTGCCCTGCACTCCCTGGGGCTGCATCGAGCTCATCCGTCGCGCAGGCGTCGAGATCTCTGGCGCCAGAGCCGTCGTTCTGGGTCGCAGCAAAATCGTGGGCACTCCTGCCGCCGAGCTGCTGAAGTGGGCCCATGCCACGGTGACGGTGTGCCACTCGAAGACGCGCAATATCGAGGAGATCACACGGAGCGCAGACATCCTGGTGGTGGGCATTGGCGTGGCCGAGATGGTCAAGGGATCGTGGATAAAGCCCGGTGCGGTGGTCATCGATTGTGGCATTAATGTGAAGCCAGGTGAGGACGGGGGACATCTCTTTTTTGGAGGGCTACGCACCCCTCAACATAATCCCTGGCTGATTGCATGGCTTCGCTTGGAATTTTCCTTAGCCGAATGCATCCCTATCGCCTACCACTTGTTGATCATTCTCCCCTGTGTTGCTTATCAATGCAAATGACCCCGCAGTGACCCTCCCCCCTGGGGGCATACAGATAAGATTCTTGGCTCTGTTTTCCAACTTTGTTGCGGGTTTTCAGTCTGGGATTAGCGCTCCATGGCAGCCCATCGATTGCTTTTAGCTGCCCAATTCTAATCACAGAAATCTCCGATCCCCCCTTAGATCCTTCGAAGGCGAGCGGCAGTCGTCTGGTGGGCGACGTGGACTACGAGGAGGCCAAGAAGGTTGCTGGACACATCACGCCCGTGCCTGGTGGCGTGGGACCCATGACCGTGGCCATGCTGATGAAGAACACCGTCCGTTCGGCGGCCAAGGCTCTCGACCGCCAGCTACGCACCCAATGGACCCTGGAGCCGCTGCCATTGAAGCCCCTGCGGCCGGTGCCAAGTGACATTGTGATTGCGCGCGGACAGAAGCCCAAGGACATTGCATTGCTGGCCACGGAGATCGGCCTGGAGCCGCGCGAGGTGTCGCTGTATGGCAACAAGAAGGCCAAAATCTCGCTGTCGGTGCTCGAGCGTCTGGCGGACAAGCAGGCGGGCCACTATGTGGTGGTGGCTGGGATCACACCCACACCTTTGGGTGAGGGCAAGAGCACCTCGTTGATGGGCCTCGTCCAGGCACTGGGCGCCCATAAGAAGAGGAATGTGATCGCTGCCTTGCGACAGCCGTCGCAGGGACCCACCTTTGGCATCAAGGGTGGAGCCGCGGGCGGTGGCTACGCCCAGGTCATACCCATGGAGGAGTTCAATCTCCATTTGACGGGCGACATTCACGCCGTTGCGGCGGCCAATAATCTGCTGGCCGCACAGCTGGACACGCGCATCTTCCACGAGTGCACGCAGAAGGACAAGGCGCTGTACGAGCGCCTCGTGCCGCGCGTCAAGGGCGAGCGCAAGTTCAGTCCCATCCAGCTGCGTCGCCTGAAGCGTCTGGGCATTGAGAAGACCGATCCGGATGCGTTGACAGAGCAGGAGTACGGCGCCTTTGCCCGCCTGGACATCGATCCCGAGACGATCATGTGGGAGCGCGTGGTGGACATCAACGATCGGTATCTGCGCTCCATAACGGTGGGCCAGTCGCCCACGGAGAAGGGCATCACGCGGGAGACGCGCTTCTCCATTGCGGTGGCCAGCGAGATCATGGCCGTGCTGGCGCTCTCCCGCTGCCTGAAGGACATGAAGCAGCGGCTGGCCGACATGGTCGTAGCCTTCGACAGAGCCGGCAAACCGGTGACCGCCGATGATCTGGGCGTGACCGGTGCTCTGGCCGTGCTCTTGAAGGACGCCCTGGAGCCGAATCTAATGCAGAGTCTGGAGGGTACTCCGGTGCTGGTGCATGCCGGACCATTTGCCAACATCGCCCATGGCTGCAACTCCATCATTGCGGACGAGATTGGCCTCAAGCTGGTCGGCAAGGATGGGTTCGTGTGCACGGAGGCCGGCTTCGGCTCGGACATTGGCATGGAGAAGTTCTGCAACATCAAGTGCCGCACCTCTGGCCGGAAGCCGAATGCCATGGTCCTTGTGACCACCGTGCGGGCCATCAAAATGCATGGCGGCGGTGCAGCCGTCACACCTGGGGCGCCGCTGAACAAGCAGTACACCGAGGAGAATCTGGAGCTGCTGGAGAAGGGTCTGCCCAATCTGCTGCAGCATATCGCCAATGGCCAGGCCTTCGGCATGCCCGTGGTTGTCTGCATCAATGTCCATGTCAGCGATACCCAGGCGGAGCATGAGCTCCTCCAGAAGGCCGCCCTGCAGGCGGGCGCCTTTGCTGCCGTTGTGTCCACCCATTGGTCGGATGGTGGCGCCGGTGCCGTGGAGCTCGCGGAGGCTGTCATCAAGGCCTGCGAAAGGGGCAACAACTTCAAGCTGCTGTACGATCTGAAACTGCCGCTGCTGGACAAGATGACGAAGATTGCGACGACCATGTATGGTGCCGGCAAGGTGGTGCTCTCGGCATCCGCCCAAGAGAAGGTCAAGCGATTGACAGAGGCGGTAAGTGTGCCGCCAACCAACATCCTTTGATGCAACCTTCTTCTGACAATCCACTTTTTGTTGCTCCAGGGCTTTGGCAACCTTCCCATTTGCATGTCCAAGACCTCGGGCTCTCTGAGCGGTGATGCCAAAATCAAGGGCGCCCCCAAGGGTTTCACACTGGACGTGGAGGATGTCTATGTCTCGGCGGGAGCTGGCTTTGTGGTGGCCATGTGCGGAGAGATTACCAAAATGCCAGGACTGTCCACGCGCCCGGCCATCTATGACATTGACCTGAACACGGAGACGGGACAAATCGAGGGTCTCTTCTAGCTGCGGAGAACTCTGCCAAAATCCAAGACAAAGGATGTACGCCTGGATCCTGCCTGTTCGTTTTGCATTTAACTATAAAAATTCCAAGTTTTTAAACTGTAAAATATTAATTTTCGTTTTTGTTTGTGTCCGCGATATGTTGAACGCCATGGGCGCTACTTTTGCTTGGATGCAAATTGAAAAGCATTTCTTGTGCCTGTCTGTATATAAATTGATTTAGAAATAAGTTTCAAAAGTGTGGAATGGAGAATATAAAGAAGATTAATAACCCTGAAGATTGCCATAGACAATTAAACGATTCCTGGACTCGTTGACCCTTGCGTTAGTTGTCAGAAAATTGTCAAGGCTGGAACGAGTTTCACGCCCAATCTGTACTGGCTCGTTCGTCAACGGGACACAACGCACAATAAAATTTTGGATATATTTTTTGGGCAGCAAACGGGAATGGAACGGAAACCCTTTACGTTCAAACAGCGGGATTTGGGTATGGACAGCCTTCCATTTAAGCTTGAGGACGAGCGCATGGAGAAGAAGGCCTATCCAATCAATGGAGAAGCCGCTTATCGGGACGCCGCTGGCAATGCTCATCCAGTCATACGGCAGTTCATCTTGCGCTGCGGCATAGTCAACTATCTGGGCAAGGTGCTGCAGCAGCGTTGGACCGATTGGCACAATCAAACCCTGCAGGAGAATGCGCTCAATCAGGGCGAAGAGGAGGAGGACCAGAAGCAGACCGCTGCCAAGGAGGAGCTCCACAAGGTGGTTGTGCAGCTGCACACAAAGCTGTCGGAGGCGCATCGTCATCTGAAGCGAGAGATGAACGATCTGTTCAATTACGTCACGGACAAGCAGGAGATGTGGAACTGCAAGGAGTACTTCAAGGTCAAGGCGGCTCTGGAGCTGGCCAATAAGGATCTAATTAAGTTTGCTCCCACCAAATTAGGGGATTAATGTTAACGCCATCGCACGGTGATGGTGATGGTGTTTTCTCCAAACAATAACAATATTTCAGTTAATTAAAGCAATAATTTCATAAACTATTTGTAAAAGGGTATCTCCACACGTCCAGACTTGGTATTCACGGCCTCCCAGCAGGTGCAGGAGAAGGTCGAACGATCCATTTGATCGGTGTACAGCTTGCCGTCCAAGTGATCCATTTCATGCTGGGCAATGCGTGCGTTCCAGCCACTCAATTCGAGGTCTTTCTGCTTGCTATTCTTGTCCAGGCCGCTCAGTTTTACGCCCTCGAAACGCTCCACTTCGGCGGAGAAGCCACGGACACTCATGCAGCCCTCGGGATGTTTCAGCTTTGCATAATTTGTCACTGTCAGTACGGGATTGATCAAGACCTGTGGATAAAAAGAGTTACAACTGGTAGTAATGGTTGTATTCCACTCTTACGGTCAGTGGAAGCTCAGACATTTGTCGCGTCTGGTACAGAAACTCTGGCATCTCCTTCTGCAGGCTCTTTTTGAACTCCATGGCTATGATTCTGAGGGAAACGCCAATCTGTGGCGCAGCTATGCCCACACAGTTGTACTTCCTGAGTACCCTGACCATTTGCTCAACAATGGCTTCGATTTCGGGACTCTCAATGAGCTCCAGAGGCACTGCAGCCGCCTGTTGCCGGAGCACAGGATCTCCGATTTGTGTAAAGTGGTTGTAGGGCGGCAGATTGGTGCGCTCCGTTGTCCACAGTTTCTGGTACCATTTCCGAAAAGATTGGGCGGCGGGCAGACTCGTGCTGAGGCTGCGACGGTGTCCAATATAAAGGTTTGCCGGTTGCTTAAGCAGCATTTTTTTTTTATACAAATTTTTGTAAACAAGAACAGCTGTGCAGCAATATACCGAAATATACCTTCTCATTATCAAAATATACCGTAAATATACTGACGGTGATATTCCTCGATTTTGATATTCGGTTTAATATTACTAGCTAGTCAGCCCTCTCAGCCCTAAACCAAAAATTTTATGCAATTTATCAATATATTTTGTTCAAGATTGGCTGGTTTTCAGAACTTTTTTTGCAATGGATTGTTTGCATAACAAGGTTCTAAACAGCGTATTTTCTTTACAAATTTTAGTAAGCAAGAACAGCTGACAGTGATGGAGACACGGCCTATCGATACATCGATAGGTTGTATTTGCATTTTTTTATTGAGAATTCCCGCCAAAAATAATTCTATTTATGAAACCAAATGGCGGAGCGACCTTCGGCCGCGTTTATCTGCTGCCAACTGAGGCAATTAAAGGTGGCAACATCCATGCGATCCACATAGATGATGCCATTCAAGTGATCCATCTCGTGCTGGGCAATGCGCGCGCTCCAGCCCTCCAGCTCCAACTGGGATGGTGTTCCCGAAGCGCCCGAAGATTTCCCCGCCACGATAATCTTATCTGACGATCAGCTGCAGATGGATGGTGGCATATCAAACAGTGGGAGACAAAAGTCTGCAAACGCGTCAAACTATTCCCAGGTAACCATTTTTACATTTTTAATAGTTTTGTGATCGACAAATAATTTGAAACTAAACTCAAAAGGAGAACCCCGATCGGGTTAATTCTCGAAATGCATATCCTCGGATTGTTTCGGCTTTTTGGGCGAAGCAGTGCCGACGCGGGAGGAAGCCAGGCTGGCGGCATCATCTCCATAGCCGGTGGCCTCCTTGCGCAGGCGGCTCTTCACCTTGAAGTAATTGGCGATAATCTGATCGACTCTGGGGCCATGCGAAGTGGTGGCCAGCTCCTTCTCGCAGCGCGAGACAATGTTCGTGAGCAGACCCCCAGAGCGATAGAACTTGATGATTCTCTCGCGCCGCAGCCACTTGAAGATTATCTGTTGGTGGCAGGACTCGTACAGGCCGTGGATTTTGTAGAAGTGCTCGTAGTGCTTGGACATTTTGCGCATCTTCATGGCGTCGATCTTCGGTATGTCCAAATGGGGCTGCCTCACGATGTGATATGGATCGTGCTTCTGCGAGAAGTTGGAGTAGCGCACGGAGGGCCAATCGAGCTCCAGGAGGGTGTTGTAGAGCTTCTTGGGATGCCCCAAAATGCCATGGGCCACGTCGATCAGCGACAACTGCGGCTCCGGCGTAATGTACTCCAGCTCCATCTCCAAGATGCGAATGTCTGTGCCACGATACTTCCGCTCCCCGATCCACAGAATGGGCAGGTCATGCTCCGCAATGTGCTCCAGCTCCTGTATGAGCGGCGATATCTGAGTGCGATAATTGACGATCTTGCTGTTGCGGCCATAGAGCAGACTCCGCTCCGCGGGCGTGAAGCTCAGATACTCCGGACGACTCGTCACAAAGTGCTCGGAGCGAAACAGACGATTCATCTCCATTTCGATGATATTGTAGGCCCTGCGGTGCATCGCAATCCACACGATCTGGGTGCTGCACGCGAGGAACTGCTCGTGGAAGTTCTTGTCCCAAATGGTGGCCGAAATGTTGACGATCTCCTTCATGTGGTAGTACTTGCCCATGGCGCCCTCACCCTTTATGATGACACTGTAGTTGCGGGCCACCAACATCCGATATTGACTTAGATACACGGAGAACACCCGCTTCATGTCGTTCGTTTGCTCGCTCTGCACTTGGGCCATTTGGCCGGAGAGCTCATCGCGGCGGATCAGCACGAACTCCACCATCCGGAGGTAGTACTCAAAGTAGATGGTCAGCGAATGGAGCAGCCGATAGACCGCCGGTCTGTGCATAAACTCAACAAATTTGAACGTTAGGAACTCACTGGGCATCAGAAAGAGCACCAGATCGCGTATGTCGTATATGACGACTGTGTCGTTGTCGAAGCTACTCTCAGGTCGAACGAATTCCTGGCGAAAGATCAGCTCCTCCTCCTGGTTCATGGTGCGCATGAACATGAAGGTATTCGTGGTGATATATCGCTCCCTGGCATCCTCCAGATCGTTGTGCGGCTCAAAGTGTAGCTCGTCCTTCTTTGTGTCCCAGGACCATTTGCCGCTGTAGTACTTGGGCGCATAGTTGTCCACGTGGATGCGCTTCATCTGCAACCGAAAGTTGTATTATTTTTCCCTGTTGTGTCTCTGAATTGTGTTGGGAATTTGAAATGTATCCCAAATGGTAGGTGGAGTGGGTGATGCTAAACTAATAACTAACTAGATAGAAAGTGCTTCTCTAATAGACATTTAAATGATACTTGACCTATACTGTACGCAGGTGTTCCAGCCAGACTGAAATTTGCATGGTGTAAAAGCTTAAAAACATTTTAAAAGTGGCCCCCATTTCCCCCGCTCTTAAACTTTGTTCAAGCCACCCCCAAAAAGTGAAACTTGTTAACCAATTTTGTTTGTGGCAAAAACAATTTTGTTTGTTTTGTAGATTTTGCTGCGATTTGCATCCAAGTGTCAGAAAAGTTATGGAAGAACTTCTAACTTCTATACAGCAGCAGGAACTTCTGGGAATCCAGCTATGGCTTGAGGGTCCATTTGCTGCTTTAAAGTTAATTTCTACAGAGTGGATTTCTACACTAAATGGCAAAATGATATTCCTTTTTCTCAGCTGCTTTACCTAAGTTATTTTCCGAACTGCAAACACCGAACTCTAAGCAAGAGAGAGGGAGAGCGAGCGATTTCCAAGAGCTTTCATTATAGTCAACATTTCTGGCAAAAAGCTTTCTCCTCTCGCTTTATGGCAACTCCTAACCGTGCAGTTTTATCTGTTGGCCATTTGTTGGCATAATTTATTGGGACTCAGAGCCGGAGCTACACACAGATGATAATTGAGTTTTCCCTTTTGCTGTTCCTCAAATCCTCTGGCCAAAAGTCAGAAGGCAACTTCCTGTTGAGTAATTTAAGCTGAAGTTTTTTTTAGCTGCAGGGTAAAATCTAAACTTAGCTCCGAATGAATTCGTTATCCGTGCTGATTAAACGCCAACGCTGCTGGCAGTCATAATGCCATTAAGTAGGCTAGAATTTATGAGAAAATTTGAAGAAAAACAAAAGAATCGCCAGCGGCTACTACTTGCTTTAAAGTTGTTCTCTCACCACCGGAAAAGTCTCTCCAGAACGGCCCACCAGCCACCGCACTTTTGTGGCTTTTCCACATGCGTAATGCTGTTTGCATTGTATTTTTAATTGGTGGCATTGTTTGTTTGGGCTTGGACCATTGAAGCAAAGAATTGTTCACCCTTATAATTGTTTCTATTAATTGCCGGAATCAATTCCTTCCTTTTTTTTATATTAGTTTTCACATGCACATGAGAATATATAAAAATAGATATAAAATATAAACGGAAAACAAGCTGAAACATTAAATTGGAAATTGGAAATCGGAAATGAAGGAAGAAAAAATTTAAATTTAATGCTTGCGATGCTTGGCCTTGGCCTTCTTGTAATCGGCAATAATCTGATCAACGCTGGGCCCAACGCTCGTGCGGCTTAGCTCGTTCTCGGCCCGCAGCAGGGTATTCGTGAGCAGACCACCAGAGCGATAATACTGGATGAGCCTGTCGCGTTTCACCCACTTTATGTTGATTTCATGCGAGGGCAGATCGTATATCTCATTGATGTGGTAGAAGGTCTCGAAGGTTTTCGCCATTTTGCGCATCTTCAGGGCATCCATTTTGGGGATCTGCAAGCGGGGCTGTCGCACAATGAAGTAGGGATCGTGCTTCAGCGAGAAGTTGGAGTAGCGCACGGAGGGCCAATCGAGCTCCAGGATGGTGTTGTAGAGCTTCTTGGGATGCCCCAAAATGCCATGGGCCACGTCGATCAGCCGGAGTTGGGGCGCCGGCACAATATACTCCATTTCCATCTCCATGATGCGAATGTCAGTGCCCCGATATTTGCGATGTCCGATCCACAGAATGGGCATGTCCTCCTTCTTGGGATCCTCCAACTCCTGAATGAGGGGCGACACCTGCAGGCGATAGTTCACAATTTTGGAGCTCCGCCCGTACAGGAGACTCTTCTCCACGGGCGTAAAGTTGGGATACTCCGCTCGAGCCGTCACAAAGTGCTCGGAGCGAAACAGACGATTCATCTCCATTTCGATGATATTGTAGGCCCTGCGGTGCATCGCAATCCACACGATCTGGGTGCTGCACGCGAGGAACTGCTCGTGGAAGTTCTTGTCCCAAATGGTGGCCGAGATGTTGACGATCTCCTTCATGTGGTAGTACTTTCCCAAGTCGCCCTCCCCTTTGATGATTATACTGTAGTTGCGGGCCACCAGCATCCGATATTGACTCAGATACACGGAGAACACCCGCTTCATGTCATTCGTTTGCTCGCTCTGCACTTGGGCCATTTGGCCGGAAAGCTCATCGCGGCGGATCAGCACGAACTCCACCATCCGGAGGTAGTACTCAAAGTAGATGGTCAGCGAATGGAGCAGCTGATGCACCGCCCGATGGTGCATAAAGTCCACAAATTTGTATGTCAGAAACTCACTGGGCATAAAATAGAGCACCAGATCTCTTATATCGTTGAGCACCACTGCGTCGGTGTCGTAGGTCGTGTCGGATCTTACGAAAATGTGCCGAAACACGAGCTCCTCCTCCTGGTTTATGGTCCGGAGAAACTTGAAGGTGTTTGTTGTGATGTAGCGCTCCTTGGCATCCGCCAGATCGTTGTGCGGTTCAAAGTGTAGCTCGTCCTTCGTCGAGTCCCAGGACCATTTGCCGCTGTAGTACTTGGGCGCATAGTTATCCACGTGGACACGTATCATGCTGAGGACACTGCTCCTACGATGAAGATTCCTTGTGATTGATTTTGTGTTCAAGGCAAACTACAGTGACAGGAGTATCCAGACGATACGGATTGGGGGTTTTTGTAGGCAATATTCTAACGAAGTCAAAGGCCATTTATCAAATCAAATCGATGCGGTTGCCCAACAAATAAATTGCTTCAATTGCATTGGCAAATATTTGCACACACATACAAACATACATACACACATACAATTTCAGCAGGGGGCGCTGATTCCTTCAGTTCCCATAATTCGCCTCGACTGCAATAAGACGCAAGTTGCTGTTGCTCTCTCTCTCTCTCTCTGTCTCGCGCGATCATGACAGCAAAGCTCTCTCTCGCAACTTGCACTCCATTGCTCTCTCAGCAACAACAACAAAGCTTTGCTGAGTCTTCGTCATTGGCTTCGTCTCTACATCTGACTACGTTATTACGTTTGACTTTACGTTTGAGCTGCCCCACACATATGTACATATATGTACAGTAACATTTAACAACGATTGCTCTACAAAGGGTATCGATGGTTCGGCAGCCAAATTTGAAAGCTCTTTCTGACTTGTTGGTGGTTTTTGTATTTTATAGTCTTCGACACCTTCTTCGATTCGTTGAGGCTTTTAATAAAATTTGCTGATACTCGTATCTGTGTTTCCTGGAAATCCAATTAAATCATGTCTCAATCATTTCATCAATATATACTATAACATTTTCGATCAAATGCAGTCGCTTGTGCATTTTCGTGAAATAATTTGACTTGTTCAAAAATTTTTCCAGGAAATGCGCACAGAAGGCAATGGGTTCACGGGAATTACTTTCTGGAAAGTTTACTTTTGGAGGAAATGCAAAATAAACTTTCGTTTGGAGGAAATACAAAATTGGCCCGATACTTGTTTTCTGCGAATCAACTGCATTTTATGTTTGAAGTAAAACCATATTAATATGAAAAATATAGCGAAACCATAAGCGGCAAACTGGAAAGAAAAAAAGGGAAAAACTTCAGTCCTTGGAAGCATTGTCCCCTTTGGCATATTGTCAAGCAGCGGAAAGCTATTGTAGGATTTTTATACTAGGCTTCCTTGGGCCACATTATGGCTCAAATTATTTTCTTCTTCAAGTTTCTTGTTTTTTCCACAATTTTAATATGAGCTGTGATTGTTTTTAGTCTCCGTACTTTGTGGATTCGCCCAGTTTTTATTATCAGCATTTTGCCTTGCATTCTCAAGGTGCAGCAAGGACAAGAAGCATGGGACAGGATACGAAAATTCTTGAGCATAATTAAGGAAAGGAAAAATGAAAAAATTCCCTTTTAATGAAAGGGCGGCTCTTGAAGGGATTAAGCAATTAGAAGGAAAAAAAACAATGAAAAAACTTCCTTGGCACAAAGCTAGCTTTAAAGGCAGCAAGAAAATGCCCCATTTCCCATTTTGTGATGGATTACTGCTGTACATTCTACAGATATCATGTTAGAAAATTCAACTTAAATATATATATTGCTCCCCAGCAAATGAGAGGTCTGCCAAATGCAGCAGCAGAAACTATAATCTGCGGTCTCTTTCGTATCCCGATTTCTAATGCCTTTCCAATCCGCTGAAAGCGGAGTGGTTTTGTGGTTTTTATGTGGGTTTTCATTTCGTTTTTTTCGGAGAATATTTGCACAAAGTTTTTTCGTAGAAAAGAATAAAGTCAACTGTGGAATAAATGCCTTTAGTTTTAATAAACTTTTGAATGCATTTCCCACAAATACTCGTAATTATTGTTTCTTAGAATTTCAACCCATTGTCAAGTGTTTCTTGGAAATGGCTCTCTATTTCCAATACATTTTCTGGCATTGAAAATTGTTTAATTGAGCTGTGCAAGAGTCTCATTGTTATACATGGCCTTTTAAAATTAATTATATGGAGTATGTAAAGTCAAGTCAACTCTCCTGTGGATTTGTTTTTAATTGGTAACTAAAAGCCATTCAAGCTAAATACGCTTAGTCCCTGTAAGATCTGCACCGAACTGCAGCTTTATATTCATGTAAAAACAGGCATTAAAATTGCTTTTGCTCCCGTGCATAAATATTTCAGTTGCATGGCATACAAAATAAATTGCAATTAATGCCATTGATACAAAATCAACAGCCTGAACAGGTGCTAAAAATGGTCTTTAATCATATATATACATATATGTATGCTCTGTACATATATGTGTGTGTGTGTGTGTGTGTGGAAAAGTCAGCAGCTGAAAATTTAAGGCAAGAGCAAAAGTGGAATAGAAACGAAACCAGGCAGAGGCAACACGTATACGCAGTGTGGTACGAAAGAATTCAATTGAAACTCAGCCACAGGCACTGGAGCTGCTACGACAAGCGATACTAGGAAGGGCCTTCTTTAAGCTGATGGGAAAGTGGAGGAGAGAGACAGAGAGAGAGAGAGAGAAGGAGAAGGCTTCCTTAATGGCGCAGACGACAGCATTTATGGCATTGCTCCCCCAGCGGGCTTTCGTCGCTTTGGTTCTACTTCAGGCGTTGCTAAAAATTTATTAGCCCACAGATTTATTTGTTCAATTGCATGTCGCCGGCAAGCGGAAAGTGGAAAGTGGAAAGCGTGTGGAAAGTCGCGGGTTGATGTGGAGTCGCTTTTAATGGCATGGCACACAGAGGTGATTGCCGGAATATAAAAGTGGTTCCAGCACTCTTATTAATTCGATGGAGGGACTAACACTCGAACCACTCTCAGAGGTCTTATATTTCACGATATTTTTAGCCTTGAATATTTTTCCCTAATTGTTTTGCAATTAAACAGTTATTTAAGGCAATTCTGTGGAAAGCCATAATTAGATACACGCATGTCCGTAGCCCGAAAAATCATTGATACCTTTCCATAATTGAGGTGGTTTCCATTATGAGCTCTGTACCTGCCCCAAATAGTCTGACATTTAAATGACATTTGAGAAAAGTACCAGCAGCTTTCCACCCTCCTCTTGGGACTTGGGAAAGCTGCTAAAGTTTTATTAATAGCAGACGTCCAAAAAAAGGGTATCAACTGAATGAGAGGCTTAACCTTTCGTTTCTTTCAATTATTTCTTATTAATAATTGGACAAAGACAACGCCCGCAGTATTTGTGACAATTGTCATCATCGATATTGAATCGGCTTAGGAATTTCGAGAGATGTGTGCGCCATGACAACGTGGCCAGCCGAAGGTACTTTTAATTGGTTGCATAATTATCAGCAACATTTCAAATGCCAATTCACATAATGGCGGACATTAAAATTTAATTACATTTCGCGAAATTCCATGGAAAATGATTTGCGAACAGATTGCGAAGATTGCAAATGCTACAGCATTTTGCGTGGAAATAAAATGGAAGGGCACATAATTATATAATACGTATTTAACAAAGAGCTTTCAATTATTAAATTTCCCCAGAATTTATGAATAAATCTTTGACTTTGAATAATAAAAAGCAATCTATTAATTAGTTCCAATCAAAAATGTATTGCAATTTGCAAGTCTTCTGTCAGTCGTTTTGAATGGAATCCTTTGCATAAGCTTATTTAATTTCATGTGTTTAAATGTTGTGTGTCGCTCAAATGTTTTCTTTAATTTAATGTATTTCAATGGGTGTCCGAAATCGATCTACGTGAACTTATCTCTGGTCATAGTAGTTTTATTCGTTGGGATCGTTTCTTTACCAGATAAATACCAGTGAAAATAAGTTTCGTATCAGCAAATATGTACGTATCCTTCAGAAAAATATGCGCACAAAGGGAAGAGTTTGCCTTACAATTCAGGTATATTTTAACCACAAAAAAAAAGGAGAAAAACTGTCATACGAGTACGAGTGCTCGTACAGCAATAAGTTCGTGTAGTATGCCCACAGACAGTCTCCCACGCAATTAAGCAGCCAACCAACCCACCCACTCGCCCATCACTCACGACAGTAACAAAGTGTGCCATGGCCCGTGCTCTGTGTTCTGTGGTTAAGAAAAATAACGAGCACATTTATCAGTAAAATTTCTGTTGGTTGTTGCTGGCTTTGGCTTTGGCTGCTGGTGGCTTGGTTTTGTTTTTTGTTTGTTTGCTGTGCTGCAAATATTTTTAAAGTTTAAAAGCAATCCGAAGCGAATGGTATTTATGAAATTAGCATAAATGAAATTCGCAATTTTGAGTGGCCCCCGACAAAGGATTGAAGTTCACTGAAGTGGAATATAAGTCTAAAAATATGCCAGGGAAATGTCGGAAAATATGAGTGAGAGTGAGAGTGAGAGAGAGAGAGAGAGAGAAAGTTTTGTTGGATGGAATTTATTTATTACTGCTGCCGCAGGTCTTTTTATTTGTTTCCCTTTTGTCCATCTGTCTGTGCAATCGTCCAGAAGGGCTTTGATAAAACACACAGCACAAAAAGGCTCCTCAACCAGAACGTGTGTCGCTAAAGGCCCCCAGGCACAATGCATATGTAAATAGAAGCCCCGGACATGAGGGGTCCATCGATATCCCCGAAGACTGCTAACCAACAAAGTCTGCACACGTCAGCCAAAATGTTGTTTGTTTTGGGCCTAGACAGAAGGAATAGTTTGATGGAATGCCGGAATGCAGGAATAAGTTTAATTTCCTTCTGGAAGAAAAGAACAGTTATGGACAGTTATTAGCGTATTATATATTCGGGATTTATTGCAGATTTGATTTTGAGATAGTGCACAGCGTATAGCACAGTGACGCCGATCATGTGGATCATATAGAAGAAGAGTGCAGCCAAAACAATGACCGGCAGCATGCTCTTCTCCTGGGGCAGCGGCTCCAGACGTCTGTCGTGGACAATGGTGACGACGAAGACGACAATCAGTGTGACATACAGCAGGCTCAGGACGGTAATATAGAACTCCAGACTCTCATCACGTATGACAAGTCGTGTTATTAATAATGAGATAAAAATGATGATTGCCATAATGGAAATAATGAACATTGTCAGAGGACCCGGCAGCACTTTGAGCGGCATGAAAATTCCAATTAAATAGAGGCAAATGCTGAGGATTATAGCCGTTGTCAGTATGCCCATGGACCAGGTCATCCTGAGGAGCATAAAATCTCGACTGAATACACTCAGTGTCAGGGCCTCGACAGCGATAATTCCCAGCAGATAGTTGATCGGAAAATCGTGAGCCAACGGCACACAGAGCAGGGTCATCAGGCAGCCCAAAGCGATGAGCAGCCACACATAACTGGGCACAGGACATGCCCTGTAAAAGTCATAGTCGCAGGCCTTGACAATCACCACTTGCAGCAGTCCAATCCCAGCGAAAATAACCAGAATGGTGTACACTTTCCTGTAGAATTCCGGCCGACCAATCGTCTGTGATTCGGGCCCATGTAAATCGGCCATCTCTCTACATTGGATTGGATTCCTTTCCCCCCTATGTGGGTGTTTTATATGACAATTTTGTGGTTTAACAATTCGTTCAATGAATGCTTTCCCCCTGGCACCTGCTCATGAATATTAAATGACCCCAACTCGAGTGCTAATCAATGGCACGTGCCCCCTGCTGCAGCAGGCAGACGCATTGCCACTTGGCCACTCTGCCACTCTGCCACCTGAACGCTTTGTTTAGACAAGTAAGCGTGAGTGTCTGCTTTTTGGCCTGGCCTTTGCTGAATTTTAATTGGGCTTGGGGACGCTTGGGGGAAGAGCCAACACGTGCAGAAGCAACGCCAGAAGCAACACCAAACAAAGTCAGGAATTAAATAAACATGAGTCAGCGCCAAAGATAATTTGTACTTGCCATTGTATGTATAAATTTCGAGATTAGCTACAGCCATAGAGACTCTGCTTATCCCTGGGATTCCCAGGGATAATCCCCAATCATCGATTACAACCAAAGTCACAACAATTTAGTCATATTTTGATAATACAATAGATCCCAGCCCCATCCCAACCCCTCCCAGCTTAGGGATGTAATAAGCTTGGGCTTTGACATTGAAAGCCCCACAAATGCCTATCAACATCAATCAAAGGGAGGACACAGGACACAGGACACTCCACAGCCAACAGGAAGTTTGAAGCGATGTAAACGGACAACAGCAACAGGAAACACACACAACCAAAGTGATTCCGACTCAAGCCACAGGAGAAGTAAATCGAAAACCGAAATGCGAAATTACTTAAATTATTTTTACATTCCAGCAGAAAGCAGCAAAGACTCCTCTTTGGTTTCCTTGAAAGAAGCTTTTGTGGGCGGAGCATGCCAAGGGTTTTACCCTTGAACATTAATGAGCAGATAAGCGCTGAATATTCTCGGATTAATTAGCTCATAATCGGAATACAGAATTCCGAAAATACATACTTCGAGGCTGCTCCAAGTGATAAGCGAATCGAGAACGGAAGCTCTGCTTGCCGGATCAGTCTGCTGCAAAACTCTCAGTGCTTCAAATCGCTCTACAAAATGAACGCGTACTTCGTGTTGGCCCTGGTGCCGATGGCTTTGTGTGTTGCAAATAGTAATAGCTGGCAGCGCACTGGAGTATCTGAATGCGAGTCGGAAGACTCCGACTGGTTCCATTGCTGGGAGAGCAACGTGATGGAGGGCACCTGCACGGGAGAGCCGAATAGCGCCTGGATACGCAACACTGAGGTGTGCAACGGACTGGTGGACTGTCCGAATGGCGAGGACGAGTCGATTGTGCATTGCAAGCGGGAGCCAAGCGAATTGCAAGCCTGGTATTTCTACTGTGCCACGGGGGCAGTGCTTGAACTGTCGAAGAAGTGTGACGGAAAAGTCGACTGCTCCGACGGATCGGATGAGATGCCAACGATGTGCCAGCCCGCGATGAAGAAACCCCGTTGGAGAACCTGTAACAAGTATCTGTGGAATCCACAAACTATAAACTTGGCTCTACATTCCCGTTTTACTTTCAGAGATGGCTTATTTTTGTGCCGTCCAGGAAAATGTGCACCTGCAAAGAGCGATTGCGATGGTAAATACGACTGTCGCAATGGGTTCGACGAATCCATCGAAGTCTGCTATCAGCAGTGGCACAACGAGACGCAGTTCCAGTGCGGCAATGGCCGCATAATAGCCACTGAACTTACCTGCAATGGTGTTCACGATTGCATCGATGGCTCGGATGAGCTGTCAAACGTTTGTGGTACGGACACAGCCCCGAACAAATGTGTGGAGCCACCAGCGCCGCTCTCCTTCACACTGGACACCAAATATCATCGTGGCGTCAGAGGAACTAAATATGTTTTGCCCAACGAAGTGGTGAAGGTGCAGTGTATACCCTCGCATCGCTTCGCTGACAGCCTACGGACCGAGTGGAATGTCTGCGAAGCGAATGGTCAATGGGCATTCCGTTGGCCAATTTGTATACGATCGAAATATTGGGAAAATTAAAGCAACGAATATTTAAAGCAAAACTGACACTAATTACCCATCCATCATCCATCATCATCATTCAGCTTGAATCCCCCCCCCCATATCAAGTGTCTAAACTGATGACTTTCAATTAATCGTTTGCCTTTTGTGGCCTTTTATTTCAACGTTTGCCGTGGCACATGTGTCATCTGGGGAATTTCTAACAAGGTGACTGACATTCGCTCCATTATGCAAAGTTTTTCTTTTGTTGTGTGTGGCTGCAGACAGATGTATCTGTGTATCTGTATGTCTGTGACTGTAACAGGCAACGAATCGGGCGAGACAATAAATTAATTCACATGCAAGGGGCCAAAAGATGGATTTCAGAGAAATCCCCCAGCAATTTGTTCAACAAATGTTGGACTCAATCACTTAGAGCAGAGGCAGGACAAGGAGCAGGAGCAGGAGTAGGGGCAGGAGCAAGAGCAGCAGCAAGGAGCAGGAGCAGGCTTTCCTTCGTTGTGTTCTTTGCTGTTTCATCCTGTGTCTCGTCTTGTTCTGTGCTGTCATGGCATGGAATCCACCACAGGGATGCCTTGAAATCAACTTTACAATGAATACAAAACAAGTAACAGAAGAACGGAAAGAACTTGAGTCCTCTGCAGACGACGACTGCCCTGAGAAAAAAGCGAAACATGTCAATAGTTTTCTAGTTGCAGCAAAGTCTTCAGCTATTTCACAAAAAGTCAGACAGAATATTTGAAATGAATTTTCCTCTTGGGGTGAGGGTGGGGGTGGGGCTGGGGGTGGGGCTGGGGGTGGGGCTTGGGGTGGGGCTTGGGGTGGGGGTTTGGGTTTCCCTTTGCATCTGTCTCTGATAGTTGTCCGGGAAATGCATTTTCTGTGTACAGATCTTTCAATGTTTTGCATAAGTAGGAATTTCTGGAATTGTTGACTATTTCTAATTGACTTTTTAAATTGTTTTCAGACTGCAAGATTCGTGCTTTAACTTGTCATAGAAAAACCCATACCCATTGGTCTCTCTCTCTCCCTCTCTTTGACTCTGTCTGGGCCGCTGAAACTTTGTGGCATCTAAATTTAGATGGAAACAAAAACAACATTTGCACACAGCACAATTAAAACTTTAACGATTATATATGTTTGCCCTGCCAAATCGCGCAAGGAGGGGAGCCCAGAGAGCACGCAGAAAAACTTTTCAAATATCAAAATGCCCGGCATAAAGAAACTTTTGGATTGGGGAATGAGAGATTTCCAATAGCCAGCTTCAACATCAATATTGACTTGAAGAGAGCATCGCGTGGGACAGACAGACAGACAGACAGACCGGCAGGCTCGTCGTCCCTTGGCTGCAAGCGAATAACTTGAAGGACTCTTCTCCCTGGCTCATCTTAATGTTTGTTAAATGGGGCTTAATCAGCTTCTCTTCAGCTGTAGCCAAAGCCAGGTGAGATCTGGCAGAGATTTAGCGATGTGCTTGACAAATGAAAATATTCCGAGCCCTCAAGAGGAGAGGCTTAGCTTTGCCTTTGGCCTTTGCCTCTCTGACATTTAAAGTTAAATGAAAATCCCACAAATGTTGCCATTGGCAAACAATTTCTCATTTGAGAGAAGCGACAATGGGTTTCCCTGGGGGCTCTCTCTGAGTGGGAAGTATTCATCGAAAGAGTTCGTCAGGCAAGCATATGGTTTGGAAAATTCCAAGAGTGCAAAGGCAAAAATATATTTAAAGGTCTTAACATTTATTATTTATCCCCTTTATATCTTCAAGCATAAGTGTACTAATCAACTAAGTACAGTCTGCAGGCATCTGTTTCTCAGTTATGTTCTTTTGGAGCTAAGATAGAAGAGAACTTTAATCATTTATCCTCCATGAGGCACACCTTTCGAACTGCAATTGGCAAACTACATACGACACCAGACACAGAACGCTTGTAGATTTCTGCGAAATTTCATGTAATTTTCTGCCATTCAGTGGACATTTTATCATGCAACAAGTTCTGGGAACAGGAAGTTGGTTGAACTTTGGCCTTTGGCCTTTGGTCTGCTTCCTCTTTGCTTTGTGGCGCCACTCACTCGTATCTCATGCACAGCTCAGAGCTATTTTGGGGTCACAAGTCCAGGCCACATATAACTTAATGACTTGACATCATCAGCTGCTGAAATTAGTTTTAGCCAAGCATCAGAGAGGCAGAGTAAAAATCAGTGTGGGATTCAGGCAACCAGAAGCTGTGCAACAGCCTCCCCGCCTGCCTGGCTGCCTGCCTGCCTGGTCGGACGCCCCGGTGGGGGCGTTAAACCTTAATTTGACAGCGGGTCCTGGGATCCTGGGGTCCTGGAAGTGAAATAAAGTTGTCCAGGGAGATTTAATTAAGCACTGGCGTACGCTCAGAGATTCTGCCTGATATCCCTTTCGTTTGAAATGGGAAAATCCTGTTGACATTTGGAGATGCCGGACAATATTTAGTTTTATGCTGCTGAAACGTCATCATGTCGGGGGCTTAATGAATTGCCAGACAAGTGAGATGGCCCCAGCCACAGCAGTCCGGTTATCAGGTTAACAATGTCCTGCCAGCCGGCAGCTCCTGCAAAGTCATTTGAAGGACTCTGGTGGGCTGGTCTGCAGGAAGATCCCATTCCTTGATTGTTTGCCTCGTTGGCTTACAAACACATGCATAACAATTAATTTCCAGCTCCCAACAGGCTCCATGAACTGGTGCACTGTTTCGTAGCCCATGACCACCGGACTCAAGCATCGCCTCAGCCTCAGCATCAGCCTCAGCCTCAGCATCAGCATCAGCGGGTGGTTCATTGTGCTTAGACACGCCTCAAGCCACGAGCCACAGCCCAGCGGGTGGCAGCATATTAATTTTGTTTATTTCACTTCAATTTTCGCAGCATTAAGTGGTGTTGGTAATTGCCTCCATTTATGGTCATAACCGGGGCAGCATGGCCATAAAAGTTTGTTTCATTTTGAACGGGCTGCGGTGGTCCAGCCTGTGGGGGGGTCTTCTGCAGAATGCCCCACACATGTGCGGGATGCTCGGAATTGATTTCCACTTTAGCTTCCATTTCCAGTCTGTTTTCCACCAGCTGATAGAAGAAAAGGCTGGCAAGTCCTTATCGATTAAAAAGCAGTTGCGAATCGCTGCAAGATCAATGAAATGTTTCTACAAAAAGCCAGAGACATGATTTGATGCAAGAGGAGCACTCCTTGCCTATATAATTTTGTGTTCGAACAGCTGGGAAGCAACGTAAAATAGATTAAATACGAATTGACATCATCGAAGGCCTTACTACAACGCCTTTTGCCAACATTTCATAATGGATTCTTTGGAAAAAGCTTGCCCCGAAAGGAAAATGCACGCCATGGCGTCTGCTCATCATAGCAAATTGGTTGCCTTTTGCCTCGAACTGGAAATTGAATGCTTCAGAGAGAGAGTACTTCAAAAGGCCAGGCAACTGAAGACAAAACGTCTGAACGTTTGTGTCTGACGCCTGAAAATGTGCGATAAAAGAACATTTTTCTATAGAAATTCACACAAAAGTCTTAAGAGAGCGGCTCATCTTTTCCTTTGCTGCGAAAGTCCAATGACTGCAGTCGAGAGAAAGCCTGATGGGGGTGGGAAATCACATTGGCTGGCTGTCTGTTTGTCTGTCTGACAGTTTTGTGGCGGGGATAAGTAGATTAATTGCTGAGCATTTTGAATACACATAAGATGACAGTTGATTCAGCCACCAGATGACAAAACTGCTAAGAGGTATATGTTATATGCATTGTAAAGCCTGTGGGAACATTCTCACGAGTGAATATTGAAGTACGTGCCACCTGACGTATGCGCAATGTGCAGCCATCGACAAGCCCCCCGCCCAGCAAGTAAATGTATGCACGAGTATGTCTGTGAAACAGTGTAGCGAGCACGATGGCCATGCCAGGCAGCAGCTGTCAGACTCGTTTTGAAGTTTTATATTTCATCAAATGCTGCTGCCACATGTCGCAACTGGGCTGAGTGCCTGGGTCTGGGCGTAGCCACTTCGTTGGATTTTTCGGGGGTCTCTAAAGATATTATCAAGTTGTCAGGCTCAGAGAGAGAAAGAGAGAGAGACATGGACATGCATTCTCATTGTCTGGCGGCGAGTTAATCAAAAGATTAACCGAGACGTCGTGTCGGCTGTTGTAAACAACTAGGGGCTAGAAAATTTAATTAAATTTTCAGCGCAGGCTGCAGCCGAAATAAAAAAAAAGGAACACGAAACAAAATTAAGACGGTTTTTTCGGTTGCATGGAAGAGCGTGATACCTATTAATTTTGTGTGCAATTGAATATTATTTTTGCTGGTATTTATTTCTGGTATATTATATATTAGTATTTTTTGATATATTTATTTATTTATTCTCCTGATTTTCTACCCAAAAATAAGAATATACTTAATTAGCACTAGACCTGTGGCATATGATAGTTCCCTTCTCCCACTTATTTTGCTAAGGAAACCCGCACTTCCACCCACTTGAAATCCCCTCCCGCAACTATAACTACAAGGGGTATCAAACCTAACAACAAAAATAACGCCTAAAATAAATCACCAAAGACGAGCGGAAGGACACGGCGAAGAAGCAACCAGCAGAAGGCACAAAAAAAAGGAAGCCCAAAAAAAAAGGGAAGGGAAAAGAAAAAAGAAAACACCAACAATAGCGAACAGTGGAAACAGAAAGCAAACAGCACGCTGGATTTTTTGTTTGTTATCCCTTTGTCGTCTTTGGCCCCGCCCACGCTTCTCCAGACTTTTCCTTGCTGCGAATTTTGCGCTTGTTAAACATTTCACCCGCTTGGCTGCATCTGTCGGCAACAATGCAACGCCACACGCCCACCAAGAACTATCTGTGCCACCAAAACCAAAAACAAATGTCCACGCCACACCGCAAATCATTTGGATAAGGGGTGTGCATAAATTGTTGAGGCATGCCACCGTTTTCTTAGCACTGTTAGTGTTATTGCAGGTCCTTTGTTTTGTTTTAGCGGGAAAGAAAATAGAAGGAGAGCTTG